GGGGGCCCCCGCCGCTCCCGCCCCCCCCAGCCGTACCAGGAGGTGGAGCGGCAGCACCGGGTGCGCATGGCGCTGGGCAACGGGCTGCGTGCCTCCATCTGGCGGGAGTTCATGGCTCGCTTCGGCATCGCCCAGGTGGCCGAGTTCTATGGGGCCACTGAGTGCAACTGCAGCCTGGGAAACTTCGACAACAATGTAAGGCCCCACCACCCTCCCCATGTCCAGAGGGTGCTTGCTGCCCTGGGCAGAGTTGGAAACCCAGACAGGCTGTTTGCTCCCGGTTTCGTGCTCCAAGAGGCTTGGCGTGGGTTGCCATCTGCCTGGAGGGGTTTTGGCTGTTGTGCAGTGCCAGCTCTCTGGTATCCTGGATGGGCGTGGGCAGCGGGCTCAGGGCAGGAGAGATGTCCCTGCTACCCATGGCTCTGAGCTCTTTCCATCCTAGGTTGGGTCGTGCGGCTTCAACAGCAGGATCCTACCAGGGGTGTATCCCATTAGCTTGGTGCGGGTGGATGAAGACACCATGGAGCTGATCCGGGGGCCGGATGGTGTCTGTATCCACTGCAAACCAGGTGAGGGCAACCACAGAGATAAGTCTTTTCAGCCCTGTGTGAGTCTTTCCCAATACTTCAAGATAGTTTACCTAGGTTTGAGTCTCTGCTCTGTTAAACCCCACCAACCCCATTAGACACCCTTTTTGCTTGGGTGTGGGTGGTTGCTTCCCCCCTTCATCCCCCCTTTTCTTCCTGCAGGGGAGCCGGGGCAGCTGGTGGGCCGCATTGTCAAGAGCAATCCCTTGCAGCACTTTGACGGCTACCTGAATCAGTCAGCCACCAGCAAGAAGATCGCCAGGGACGTGTTTACAAAAGGGGACGCTGCCTATCTCACAGGTGAGGCAAGCAGGGCCCTTCCGTCTGCTGAGAGCAGAGGAGAAGGGTACCTGGGTGGGCTTGGGGGCTGTCCCAGGCTAGTGGCACTGCCCTGAGGTGCTCCAGGGTTGCTCCTAGCCCCTCTGACACCTCATTTTTCCCTGTTCCTCGCTTTCCTGTAGGAGATGTCCTGGTGATGGACAAATATGGTTACATGTACTTCCGGGACCGCACTGGGGACACATTCCGCTGGAAGGGGGAGAATGTCTCCACCACAGAGGTGGAGGGGACGCTGAGCCGCATCCTCAACCTGACGGACGTGGTGGTTTATGGGGTGGAGATCCCAGGTAGCTGAAAGGGGAGAGGATGAGCGGAAGAGGCAGGTGTGCCTCTGACACTTGAATGTGAGCGTGTCCTCCACGTCCAGATTGACGTGTCCTTTTGCAAGAGGGTGGACCGAGGCTCCCCATGGGCGAGCTGGGAAGAGGCCACTGGGGATGTGCCTAGCAGGAACCAGAGGGTTCCCTCCCTCTCTCAAGCTTTGGTCTGATTCTGGCTGGTTTGGAAGGACCCTGCAGCCTTTCTAGACAGGCTGCAAGTGCCTCCTCTGGGAGGAGGTGACCGTGACCGCAGGGTGTCGCTGGCAGCCTTAGCCGCAGGCTGGTGACACAGCCAGTGACACAGCTGGACACACCAGCGCGTTGGTACAAAGCGGGGTCTGTGCCAGAGGCCTTGCTGGTGTGGGGCAGGGGGAGATGATGCTACAGGGATAGTGTGTCTGAGTGCTCTCCCTTCTTCTCTGCCTCTTAGGGATAGAAGGGAAGGCAGGAATGGCAGCCATCGCCGACCCGGAAAACTCCTGTGACCTAGAAGGCTTTGCCAGGGAGCTGAAAAAGGCCCTGCCATTGTACGCACGGCCCGTCTTCCTGCGGTTCCTGCACGAAGTCTCCAAGACAAGTGAGCCATGGCGTGCACGCTCGCACTGGGCGCGGAGCTGGGGGAGAAACCTGGTTACGGAGGCCGATCTGAGATAGGGTCAGGTCTGCCCCACAGAGCCCCTCGCCAGTCCCTCTGGTGGTTTGGAGGCGTGGGGGTGCAAGGCTGGGTCTGGGGCAGTACAGGGGCGGTGGAGATGGGAGCGTGTGCAGCCAGTGACCCCTCATTCCTTTTTCTCTCCCTGCTCCAGGCACTTACAAGTTCCAGAAGATGGAGCTGCGGAAGCAGGGCTTTGACCCCGCGCTGGTGAAGGACAGATTGTACTTCCTGGACGCCAGGGAAGGCCGCTACCTGCCGTTGGACCAGGCAGCGCTCAGCAGG